GGTGCCCAGGGCTGAACTGAGGCCCTGAGCCCTGAGCTAGGATCCTGGAGCAGCAGGAGGTGACGAGTCACAGGCCAGGGCTTCTCTGGCTATAGGTGGCAGCATCTACACAGTCTCTCCCAGAGTCTCCTGCTCCGCTTCTTGGCCAGCTAGCTACCTGCTCCCTCAGGTCTGGGCATTGGGCTTGGCAGTGCCAACTCTGTCCTCGGCCACCAAAGTCCAGTCCCTCCAGCTCCATCTCCACTGCCCTTCTGGAAAGTGTTCTGGGAGGCTGGACATCTGTGTCCAGGATGCTGGGTCTTCAGCATCCAATCCTGTTTTCCTCCCTCACTCATTCAAAGTTTGCTGAGCACTTAGGAGGGGCTCTAGAGGGTTTCATCACAGAGCTCATGCCCTAGAGGATAGGACGAAGCCCCAGCTACAGAGGTGGACAAGGTCCTCCCCAGGAGACTGTGGGATGCCGGGGGAAACCTAGCTCAGCCTGGAGACCAGAGATTTCCTGAAGGAGGTGATATTTGAATATTGAATATTGGATATTGAATTTAAGTAGGAGTTAGGCAAGCATGACACTGCCAGTCATCCATTCTCCCCTTCTTCCTTACCCACAGAAATGTCCCCATTTGGAAACATCCAGCCATCTCCCGCCTTCCCCCAGCCTACTGGGATGCAGGTGACATTCTATATTTTGACTTGGGCAGCATTCACGTGGATGCACACATTTGTAAAAACTTAATTCATTTGTAACTTAAGATTTACTACAAGAACATTATACGCTAACTTTAAAAAGTAAAAATTAAGTTTATAAAAAAAAAAGTGTTTCCCTTGCAGCTAGAGATGACCATGAGACCTAGGACTGGCCAGTCAGAAGTTTGGGGAAGTACTGGGAGGGGCTTCCTAGGAAGCCCTTGTAGACTTACCGGATGAGACAGATCTGCCTTTTGCCCATCATCCATTTGTACTTTGTCCAGAATTCTGGAACATGGATGCTGCAGCTGGAACAGCTATCTGGCGACCTTAAGGATTGTCTTAGGTGGGGTCCCTGAAAGCAGATCTTTAGATGAAGATTCATAAGATAGTGATGGTTTGGAAATGTTCCAGGAAGAATGGGTCTGGGAGTAGAGAGGTATACCAGAGGGTGGTAGGGGGAGGGGAGGTTAGCAGGGGTGTGACAACAAGCAGGAAGGGGAGAAGGGAGGGGTTCTAGAGACAAGAGCAGGTGACTCTTTAGAGCTGTCCCGTGGAGCAAAAGAGTTGGAGCATTAATGTCTCTGTACCCATCAGTCATCAGGTAACAACTCTGGGCAGGAGGACATCGATTCCCAGGCACTTCAGGCTCTCCCTGTGGGCAGGCAGAGCAAGTTGCTGCAGCCTCCAGGACCCTTTGACAAAGAAATACGGATACCAGCTGTCAGGAGGGAAAGCGTGCCAGGAACCAGTGTGCAAAAAGGTGGCAAAGGGACCCGAGGGGATATGGACAAAACATGGGCCTCCCCTGTTACAAGGATGAGAGCCACACAAGAAGAACAGGGGAGGAAAAGTCAAGGAGCCTGGGTCTTCAGAGCCGTTCCTGGGCGGCTGTACCTGGACTGTGGGAAAAATCACCTCCTCTCCAGAGAGGCCACCGTGGGTCACTTTGTGCTCTTGGAACTACAGTGACTTATAACTGAGATGCTGGGTAAAGGAAGGGGGAAGAGTTTGTTCCTGGAGAGGAAACAGCATGTGCTCCTGCTCAGCACACTCCTGAAAGGTGGACGTTGTTCCCATTTTACAGATGAGGAAGGTAAGAATCCAGGGGGAAACATCACTTGGCTCGTGATCACAGCCATTCAGCGGTAAAGGCAGGCTGCAAACCCAATGTATTCATCATCTTTTCCCGGGTACCGAATTACCACTTCTGCAGCGGCTTAGAACAGCACACATTTGTTATTTCGTAGTTTCTGGCACCACTTAGCTGGGTCCTCAGCTTCAGGGGCTCACAAAGCTGAAATAAAGGTGTGCAGCCAGGGGCTGGAGTTTTAACGGAGTCTTGAAGGATCCACTTTCAAGTTCATATGGTTGTTGGCAGAACTCCAGTTCCATGAGAGCTACAGGATTGGTTTCCTCAGTTTCTAGTTCGTCATTGGCCAGAAGTTGCCCTCCGGTCATTGCCAGAATGGCACCCTGCTCCATCAAAAAGAGCAGGAAGTCAACCTTATGTTACCTAATCCTGGAAGCAACATTCCCTCACCTTTGCCATATTCTGCTCATTAGAAGCATATCAGGAAATCCTGCCCAGGCTCCAGGGGAAGGGATTACACAACGGCATGAATACCAAGAGGGAGACATCACTGGGACACATTCTAGAAGCTGCTTCTCACAGCTAGTCTACTTAATTACAAAAATTTCTGTACTTTTTGCAACATCAAGCTTACTGTTTAGGGTAAAACCTCATGGATTCGGATGGACGTTTCCAGCCAGGGACTGAAGGAGAATTTTGGGCATAGCCCATTCATGGCACATAATGGGTATGGCTACCCCTTTTAGCCTCAGAGGTCCATAATGTCCTTCTTCCCATTCCTATCATTCATGAATTAATCTAACACTCCATGTACTTCCCACATGATCTGGGGAGGAAACCAGATCCTAGTTGTGATCTGGGGATGAAACCAGATCCCAGTTTCCATGTCTTCTGCCCTTGGGAAAGAGATCTGTCTTTTCTCTTTTTGGAAGCTACTGCTCAACTCCAGGACGGAGGTACCCCCTAAGTTTTGGGGAACAGTGAAGGCTACTAGAGAGTACTGGACCAGGAAATGGGAGATCTGCTTCTCCACAGATCTGCTTCAGTTTCTTTGTTGAAAAAACGAGGTAATTAGGCAAGATGATTGCAAACATCCTGCTCTAACTTCTTACTTGGAGGGAGGGACTGAAGTGGAAGAGCCTAGAGGTACGTGGTCCAATATGGCGGCCACTAGCCACATGAGGGCACTAAGCATGTGAGATGTGATTAATCCAAATGAGATTCACTGTACATGGATATAGGAGCCAGAATTCTAAGATGATTCCCAGGGACCCTCTCCTCTCCTTCTCCCCCCATATCATCTCCTCCTCTTGAGTGTAAGTGGAATACGTAAAATGTGTTCTCTGAGGAAAGGGAGACTCTCCTGGGTGGGCCTGTCCTAAGCAGGTGAGTCCTTTAAGAGCAGAGCACTTTCTCTGGCTGGTTGCAGAAGAGGAAGTCAACACTCCAGGTTGCCTGAAAGAAAGCAAACATCCATGTTGTGAACTGCCCATGGGCCACGTGGCAAGGAACTGCAAGCAGCCTATAGAAGCTGAGAGTGATCCCCAGCAGAGAGCCAGCAGGAAAAGGTGACCTCAGTCTTGCAACAGCAAGGAAATGAAATCCACCAACAATCTGTGAGCTCAGAAGTGAAACTTCAGATGAGAACCACAGCCCTGGCTGACACCTTGACTTTAACATTTGAGACTCTGGGTAAAGAATTCAGTTATGGTGTGCTCAGATTTGTGACGTATAGGAACTGTGAGGTAATAAATCTGTATTGTTTTAAGTTGCTAAGTTTGTGGTAATTTGAATATCCTGGATTTCCTAGACTTAGTACAAAATGAAAAATATAAAATGCCTCCTTGGTAATGTCTTTATTGATCCCATGTCGAAACGGTATGATTTTAAATATACCGGGTTAAATAAAATATATTATTAAAAAATGAATTTCATCTGTTTCTTTTTATTTATTTTATGTTTTAGTGTTATCCGAAAATTTAAAATCATATATGTGGCTCAAACTCTATCTAGGGGACAGTTCTGTTCTAGAGGTCCCAAAGTCAGCTGTATGACCTTGGGCAAGTCACCTCACCCTGGAAGCCTTGCATTTCTTGTCTTTGAGATTGGAATAATAGCACCTATCCACAGAACACTGGCAGCATAAATGAGATGAGGCTTGTGGGATACTAGCCCCAAGGCAAGGTCTCAATAAATGTCGGTTATTGTTATTATTAATAGCAATATCTGTGAAGTGGGGAGCCCTGCTTGTATCCAGGTCCTAGTCTCCAGCACCTCTCTCCAGCCTGACACAGAGGAGACACTCAATAAATGCTTGTGGATTATATAACCTTTTTTTTTTTTAAATTTTATTTTTAAGTAATCTCTTCACCCAACATGGGGCTGGAACTCACAACCCGGAGATTACACGCTCCACCCACTGAGCTAGCCAGGCTCCAGGGATTACGTAACCCTGTCAAAGCTCTTTGGCACAGTTCTCCCTCACCATCCCAACCCACTTGGAAGGCAGAAATCGGGGGTGGGGGGGGGGCATGGCCGGGCGGGGAGACAGAACTTTGAGGGGAGCAAAATATCTGCTCCAAGCTTCACAGCCCAGGGGACTCGGGGAATGTGGCCACCTCCTCCAACTCCCGGATGCAGAATTCCGCCTGCAGTCCTGGGAGACACGAGTTCCAAACCCAAATCCACAAAGCCAAACTAAGTGACCTGCACAGGTGACTGAGCCTCATCTGTCCCTGTCAAGTTTGTGTCAGGAATAACTAGGATAAGTGACCTGAAGCAGAGTACCTGGCACATTGTAAGGACGCAGTTTTACGGAAGGTATTATTACTGCCGTTGTTGTTGTTTTTTCATTGTCAGCGATGCTCCGCGACTCTCCGGACTGAACTCCCTCCCTCGCGGGATCCCTTTCCTCTAAATGACCCCACCTCCCCTGGTCCCTGACTGGAGAGGATGTCCTGGCTCTTCGGCCCAGTCTCCAGACACCACCCCCACCCAATCGAGTCAGGAATAGAAATCACCGCCTCCGGCAGCCCGCGGTCTCCCTCCCTCTCTCCCCCGGCAGCGATCGATGTGGCCTCCGCTGCGGGGGACAGAGGAAGACAGGGAAGGACGGGGCGGCGGGGCCTCCGGCAGCAGCGACGCTCCGCGGGGCAGCAGGGACAGTGACGAGCCCGACCGGCCAGCGGCTCCCCGGCCTCAGCGGCTTCACTTTCCGGGACAGACGCGCCCAGCGGGTGCGCCCGGGAGGGGCCTCGCAGGTAAGGAACATCCCTCGGGAGGGGCGTGGCCCGGGAAGGGGCGGGGGCTGCAGAGTGGGCGGAGGGGGCCGCCGGGGTTCCGGTCCCGCGCCCCCTTGGGGAGACCACCCCTCCCACACCCAGGGGGGAGCCCTGTGGGGCGGCCAAGCTCTCGGGTCTGTCCTGTTGGTTCATCCGTTAAATGGGATTAGAAAACCTCCCTGGCAGGGTTGTCTAGGCATTAACCCTAGTAAAGTGTGTATGGAGCCCGGCGAGGGAACCAGTACATAGTAGGTGCTCCAAGGACGTGTGTGGAGAGAGCCTTGAATGGGAAAGCCTAGTTTCCAACCTAAACTGTGCCCTGGACTAGGTGGGTGAGGCTGAGCAGCTCATTTAATCTTTCTTACTGATATTCAGATTCTTGTTGGGGAAGGTTTGTTGAATTAATTACCCCAATAGAGCAGGAGGGTGAGATCCAGAAAGAGAAAGGGATTTGTCCACAGTCATGCTGCTAATAGGTGATGCAACTGGGTCAGAAGTTTCATCTTTTGACGCCAGGTGCAGTGGAAGAGGTGGGAGCGGAGCTGCATCCCGTCTGTGTCCCAGGTACTCACAGTGCACGGATTCTGTACCAGGGGCCACTGTCCTGCCCATAAACATCCTACCCTAGTTAATACTCATGCCCTCTCAAGGAAAGTGTGATGTCCCCCATTTTACAGATGGGGAAACTGAAGCTCAGAATGGATCCTCTTGAGGGTCAACAGTAAGTTGCAGACTCAGAATTTGAACCCAGGTCTGACCAGAAGAAAGTGCAAAGGACTGACATTTATTGAGCACCTACTGTGTTCTAGGGGCTTCACACACACACTCACAGTAACCTTCCACCCCAAGTGCTATTCTCCCTGTTCTATAGATAGAAGAGCCAAAGCTCAGAGTGAGAGGAGCCTGGCCTGAGGACACAGAAGTGACAGAGCTGAGGACACGACCCTTATCCTGACCAGCTTAACTCCAAGCCTAGGGTAAGTGAAGGAAGGGCACCTCACCTGACTCGCTGCCAGGCACGGGGCCAACCGCTTGATGTACATCCAATCCCCTGTCCACCCTGGGAAGCAGGCATCACTGACGGGATGGTGCAGATGGGATTACCCAGGATCAGGAAGTGAGTCACTAGCCCTCAGCTCCGCCAGAGCTTGGAGACGTGGGCAGTGGAAGGATCTAACATTTTCTGGTATCAGAAAGGCAGAGCACTTGCCACAAGCTACTTTAGTCCTCCAGCCTGCCTTGGGGGTAGGTGCTTTTGTCTGCAGTGTGCATTGTGTAGGAAACCAAGACCTGGAGAAAAACACCTTCCTTGAGGCCCTGGGTGCATCAGCGAGTGGAGATAAACCCCGGGGTTTGGCTGACTCAGGGCAACAGTGAAACAGATGGATAATTTACTGAACCCCTTCAGGCCCCATAAACACAATAGTTCGTTTAATCTTTTAACCACACTTGAAGGTGGCTATATTTATCTCGACTTGACAGAAGATCAGGGAGGTGACATGACTTGCCTTTGGTCACAGAATAAAGTCAGTGTTACATCTGATTGACTCCACGGATGCCTTAAATGGTCTAAGCCCATGGCTCTCAAATTTGACCATGCATCAGAGTCACCCTCCACACTTGTTAAAACACAGACTGCGGAACTCCATCCTGAGTTTCGGATTCACTAAGTCTAGAGCCAGCTGATAATTTGCAGCTTTGACAAATTCCCAGGTGGCATGATGCTGCCAGTGGAGGGGACACACTTTTAAGAATAACGGGTCTCTACTGATGCTCCCAACCCCCCTTGGGTGGTTCGCATTACTACCCTCATTTTGCAGAGGAGAAAACTGAGGATCAGAGTGCTGGTGTGTCCAAGAGCCCACAGTAAAGCCCTGGCATATGACAATCCAAGTTTGGGAAAGGGAGAGAATCCTATATGAGCACCGGCCCCGAGGGGGGTGCCGGGATACCCTACCATTCAGTCATTTTCATAATCCCCTCCCCCAAGATAGATCTCAGCATTTTTTCTGTGCAAATGAAATGGGGGTGGGAAGACTCCATGATTTGGCCAAAGATCCTCGGTCGGGCAGTAAGGGGCAGTCAAACCCGAGCCTGAATTTTGAGAGCAGAGGGTACTTGACACCTCCTGTGCGCCTGCCGCACACCAGAGCGGTGGAGGGGACAGGGGGGTTAAGCCCCGGCCTCCCCGGGGGCCCTCCCGCAGCACTCCTGTCCCGGTGTCCGCAGGCCATGGTGAGCGAGTCCCCGGGACCCGGCGCCCGCGTGCCCTGGCGGCGGAGCGACGAGGCGCTGCGCGTGAACGTGGGCGGCGTGCGGCGGCGGCTGAGCGCACGCGCACTGGCGCGCTTCCCTGGCACGCGGCTGGGCCGCCTGCAGGCGGCGGCGTCCGAGGAGCAGGCGCGGCGCCTGTGCGACGACTACGACGCGGCGGCGCGCGAGTTCTACTTCGACCGGCACCCGGGCTTCTTTCTGGGCCTCCTGCACTTCTACCGCACCGGCCGCCTGCACGTGCTTGACGAGCTGTGCGTCTTCGCCTTCGGGCAGGAGGCCGACTACTGGGGCCTGGGCGAGAGCGCGCTGGCCGCCTGCTGTCGCGCGCGCTACCTGGAGCGGCGCGTGGCGCGGCCGCGCGACTGGGACGAGGACAGCGACACGCCGAGCAGCGTGGACCCGTGCCCCGACGAGATCTCCGACGTGCAGCGCGAGCTGGCGCGCTATGGGGCCGCGCGCTGCGGCCGCCTGCGCCGGCGCCTGTGGCTCACCATGGAGAACCCCGGCTACTCCCTGCCCAGCAAGCTCTTCAGCTGCGTCTCCATCGGCGTGGTGCTGGCCTCCATCGCCGCCATGTGCATCCACAGCCTGCCCGAGTACCAGGCTCGCGAGGCGGCGGCCGCTGTGGCCGCGGTGGCCGCGGGTCGCAGCCCGGACGGCGTGCGCGACGACCCGGTGCTGCGGCACCTCGAGTACTTCTGCATCGCCTGGTTCAGCTTCGAGGTGTCGTCGCGGCTGCTGCTGGCGCCCAGCACGCGCAACTTCTTCTGCCACCCGCTCAACCTCATTGACATCGTGTCGGTGCTGCCCTTCTATCTCACGCTGCTGGCCGGCGTGGCACTCGGCAACCGGCGCGGCGCGAGCGGCGAGGACCTCGGTGACCTGGGCAAGGTGGTGCAGGTGTTCCGCCTCATGCGCATCTTCCGCGTGCTCAAGCTGGCGCGCCACTCCACGGGGCTGCGCTCGCTGGGCGCCACGCTCAAGGTAGGGACCCTGGAGCTGGAGAGCGGGGCGGCGCTGCGGGGCAGGGGGATCCGAGGGTGACCAAAGGGCAAGTTAGCAGGTGAACTTCAAGGTGCGCGGTGTCCAGGCACACAGTGAACCCAGGCGACACCCTCTGTGCCAGGCACAGGGCTGGACGCCGGGTGTACATTTCCCATCCCCTCTGCCCTTCCCAACAGCTCTTTCCCGGGGTGAAAACTGAAAGCCAAGGCAGAGCTTTGCTTTTCTTTTTTTAAAAAGAAAAAAAAAAAACCCTCTAGACAGAGGTCACTTTTGGTCTGTCAAACATCAGATAATACATAGTGCAGAAATTTGCAAAGCAGGATGTTAACTGGCTTCTCTGCTGAGCCTTTCTTCTGGCCTTATCCGGGGGCACAGATATGGTAGGTCACCCTTGACAGGCCAAGTCCAGCAGCAGCCCCAGAACTAACACTGAGTGCTAATTCCGTGCCAGTTTTACATCCACTGTCGGTGTCATTCCCAGGACAACTTCCTCAGGAAGATGTGGTTATTTATTTCCTTCCAGGAGCTGAAGAACCTGAGGTCGGAAAGTTGGCTTTCTAAAACCTGGTTGCAATTTACTGAGCACCCTTCTGGTGCCAGGCCCTGCCCTGGGGGGTGTGTCACTGCTCTGGCCAGCTTAACCTTGAAGGGGTGAACTCAGCCTGGTGTGGGGACAGAGGAAATTTGAACAGTTTGGGAAGAGGCCTGGAGAGCGAAAGGATGATCACCGGGAGGGGACACGGGAGGAGGGGTGCCCATTGATGAGGTTGAAGAGGTGCGTGGGACGGGAGGGACCGTGGACTCTTGGTGCAGGATTTTGAACTTTGTCCCAGGGTAATAGGAGGGGTTCCAGCTGGGGCCAGGAGTATTGTCACCACATAGCAGATATGGAAACTGAGGCTCTGGGAGGTGACAGGACTTGTCAGAGATCCCTCAGTAAGTTGCAGAGCCCAGGGAAGAATCCAGCTGTGCCTGACTCCAGTGCCTCCTGCTCCTTCTCCTACATCTCTAGGCAGCCCCCCTAAGGATCTCGAGGAAAGCACCCTCCCCCCTGACTTTGTAAATCCTTTTTCATGCCCTCATGGCAAGGCAGCCAGGATGCTGGTACAGGCAGGCTGATGTGAGGAGAATTTGGGGGGCAGTGGGCAGGAACAAGGACTTCCATTAGCCCCATCCCTGAACTCATTATCTCTCCAGGGAAGATCCCTTCACCCCAGAGCTCTGCCTTGCCTCCAGCCATGCAGGGAGCCAGGGCCCGGTGCCACCAGCTTTTTCTGCAAGGAGGGAGAAGAGCATTGATTGAGGCTGCCAGGGTCCAAGACTCAGGTGTCAGACTCCTGGCTACTCAAAATGAGGCCCCTGACCAGCAGCAGCTTTCTCAGTACCTGGAAGCTGCTAGAAGTGCAGAATTTTTGGCTCTACCCTCGACCCACTCAACTGAGTTCTGCCTTTTAAACAAGATCCCAGCGTGATTCCTCCACACGTTACAGTTTGGGACTAGGAGACTACAATTCTAGACCAGGGGTCTCAGCCCCAGCACAACTGACATTTGGGGAGAGAAACTTCTTGGCTGTGTGTCCGGAGGTGGGGGAAACTGTCCTGTGCATTGTAGGATGTTTGGCGGCATCGCTGGCCTCCTCCCAGTGGATGCTGGCAGCCCAGCTGTCCCAGTTGTGACATTGCCATATGCTGAGGCGCCTGGGTGGCTCAGTTGGTTGAACATCTGCCTTTGGCTCACGTCATGATCCTGGGGTCCCGGGATCGAGTCCCACTTTAGGCTCCTTTCTCCCTCTGCCCCTCCCCTGCACTTGTACTCCCTTTCCCTCAAATAAATAAATAAAATCTTAAAAAAAAAAAAAAAAGGTATTGCCATATGTACCCTGGAGGGCAGATTGCTCTGTTTGAGGACCACTGCGTGACCTCAGGGGCAGAGCACACGTCTGCGGATATACCCACAGGCAGATGCATGCAGTGGGTGGTCTGGGGAGCATATATCCTGTCAGCTTTCTTGAGAGGCAGAGTGTATTTTTGTACTTGTCAGAAAGGAGGTAGACCAGCCAAAAGCACATGAAACCAACCCTTTGCATCTGCAGAATACAGACTGTGGTTCTCCGTTGGTTCTGTTATGGTGTAGAAATCACAAGCTTGTTATTAACTGGCTGGTGCCATCAGTCCCCCCTGCAGTAGAAGAAACCACTGTGGCTTAGCCAGCATCCTGGACAACAGACGTTAGTTCCATGCTCACTCCCAGGGAGCCGGCCGCCTCTTGTGGTTGAAAGAGCTTAGCTTGGAGTCGAGGGACCTAGGTCTTGGCACCAGCTCTACTTTGCTCTTTCATTTTGGACCTGCCACTTCTCTTCTCTGGACCCCAGTTTCCCCCATATGCTCCATACCAGGTCTGTGGACCCACCCACTTCTGACTTGGCTTCCTATACTCTCTTCCAGCACAGCTACCGCGAGGTGGGCATCTTACTGCTGTATCTGGCCGTGGGGGTGTCCGTGTTCTCCGGTGTGGCCTACACAGCTGAGAAGGAGGAGGACGTAGGCTTTGACACCATCCCCGCCTGCTGGTGGTGGGGCACGGTGAGCATGACCACCGTGGGCTACGGGGACGTGGTTCCCGTGACGGTGGCTGGCAAGCTGGCGGCCTCAGGCTGCATCCTGGGGGGCATCCTGGTGGTGGCGCTCCCCATCACCATCATCTTTAACAAGTTCTCTCACTTCTACCGCCGCCAGAAGGCTCTGGAGGCCGCCGTGCGCAACAGCGACCCCCGGGAGTTTGAGGACTTGCAGAGCAGTGTTGACGGGGTGTCTGAGGTGTCTCTGGAGACGTCCCGTGAGACCTCCCAGGAGGGAAGGTCTACAGACCTGGAGGCCCAGGCCCCCCGTGGGCCTCCAGACTCTCAGGTTTGCTAAAGCCAAGGCTTAGTGTCCCCCTTCCCACACCCTACAGTAAGCTGAACCAGCAGTGATCCCTCCCTGCTTATGGCATCCATGGCGGCCTGATGGCTCAGGGCTGCTCACCCACCATGAGGAATGAGTCCCAGAAGCCAGCTCCGTTCCTCCCAAAGTCCCGGGCCAGGATAGTGTTGACCTGTGTTCTTGAGCCTGGAGAACAGCCCAGAGAGCCCCATGCCTGGATCTCCCAGCTCCCCGTGAAGCAGGCATGCGCCAAAGAGAAAGCTGGAAGGCTGCTGACGGTTCCTGAGCACCTACCGCCCGTCGGCCCTAGCCTACTTGGCCCCGTGTCGGAGAATGACGAAACTGACGCCCAGCCAGGTGTCAGGACTTGCCCAAGTGTCACCGAACTAGTGGTGGTGGAGCCAGGTTTGGACTCCAGGCTCACTGCTCTGCCAAGACCGATGTTCCTCGCACGCCATCTTTCTTCTGCCCTCACGGAGTTCGCATGTCCTTCTCCAGGGTTCACGGATCTACAGAGTTGATTCGCTGGGCTCAAACCCTCTCTCCGGGCTAGGGGAAGGACCAGACGGGATTCCGGTGGAGGAGTGCTGCCCCTCAGCTGTGGTTCTCTTCCGGGAACTTCCAACGAGAGTCAGTTCTCAAAGATGAGGGCTGGGAGGGAGGGAGAGGAGCGGTCTCCTTAGCTGGTGGGTAAGGTTTGTCCCGCAGGAGTCCTGCAGCTTCCTGCCAGGGCGGGCTTGATGTGCAGTCTCTGAGGGGGTCCTGGCCTGTCCCATCCTAGGACGTGATGTGTGAAGAGGACATCCCCCTGCCCCATCTCCAGACCTTGGCCCATCTGTCAGGGGGTCACAGTCTGTGCCCCAGAGGAAAGTGAAAGGCAATGGGCAGGGAGTCCCTGACTTAAAGCCAGCTCAACTCTGAAGTGTTGGCGGCAAGGGGCTGCTATGCAGGGACACCTGCGACCCCCGGGCACCCCCAGACTGACTTCGGCATCTCTCTTCTTCCTACCGCGCAGGCTCCAGCCCTGCCTTGACTTACCACCCAGGCAGACGCTTGAGACCTCCACCCCTTTCAGCCAGCTCCAGCCCCCTCATCCCTGCCGGGGGCATCGTATGCTCACCCGCTGAATCCTCGCTACTTGCTGAGAAATTTGGGAGGGAAGGGTTCCCCTAGCCCCGTTCACATCCTGTTCCTAAAACACCCATTTCCATCCCATCGTCGCCTGGCTATGCTTGTCTGTCCCGCCGTGCAGAGCTTCAACAGGGAAGACAGTATCTGGTTGAACCCAGGCTCGTGAGGGGAAGGTAATCCCTGAAACGCTACTCACAGATCAGCTGGCTTGTACAGCGCACTGTGTGCCGGGCCCTGGGGAGGAAGGGGAAACGGCCAGACAGAGGTCTTGCCCTTGAGAAGGTGTAGACAAGACTGACCAGAATACTCTCCCGGTTCTTTCAACCTCTCCCTCCTTATTTCATTCACCCAGCAAATAGCTTTTGGACGATTCACAAGCTGGGGCTTCCCCTGTGGCCTGCAGACGTGTTTTATTTAGCTGAACAATGTCTCTCTCTCTATTTGTTTGTTTGTTTGTTTGTTTAAGATTTTATTTTTAAACAATGTCTACACCCGACGTGGGGCTTGAACTCACAACCCTGAGATCAAGGCTCTAATGACCGAGCCAGCCAGGGGCCGCCTAGTATGTACCTTTATTTCGAATGCCTTTGGGCGAGGCGCATTCTCTCCATTCCCCATAGTGTGCCCCTGAGACACGCACACACACACACCACCACGTCTCAGTCTTGACACACACACCTGCCTCTGATTCACAGACAGCTCAGTAAGTCACGAAATCAGTGGGGAACAAAATACGGACTTCTGTGTCCGTGAGGCTTACAGACGAGGCAGGGAGGTGGATTTAAATCCAGTGACCCCATGAATACGTAATAGTGAGCTGTACCAGGTACAGGGAGCCAGAAGCATGTCACGTAGCAGGGACCATGAACGGGGGTCAGAGAAGACTTTCTCGAGGGCGGGGCACGGAAGTCTCGGAGACTCTCTGGGAGACTTTCTCGATCTCAGCGGTCGTCGCACGGATGAACAGTTAATTAGGCAATAGGGGCTCCAGGAACTGTTTTCAGGCAGAGGGCACGGCATGCGCAGGCCCCATGTGCGGAGGAATCCGGGTCTCTCCAGACTGAGCAGAGGCTGGAGCCGAGGGGCCGCTCGGGACTCCCCGTGTCCACACCGGCCCTCCCGCATGCTCCCCGTGGAACGTCCAGGCCCCACTCTGCCCAGGTCGGGGCACAGAGTGGGGGCGGCTGCCCCCCCGTACCCCCCTTGCCGAACGGCTGAACATATCAAGGAGCCAGATAGCTTCCAGACTTTCTCACCCCACAGACAAGGCCCTGAAGCTAGTGGAGGGCAAGCTCAGGTGAGATTCACCTGGCCTGCATCCCTCACCAGATCCTGGCAGAAAAGCGACCACTCGCTCCCACTCCCAGGTGTGGGAGAAAACCGTTACGCAGCCAAAGAGGCCGGGCCCAGGGACCTGTTTCTGGCTGTACCAGGGCTGGCTGCTGGGCGGTCTTTCCGGGTGAACGGGGAGGGTGAGGGCTACGTAGAGTGACTCCGAATCCGCATTCTCTTGGTCCAGCGGTGGGTTTGGCACAGGTTGGGAGGGAGAGGAATCCAGCTGGAACTAACCGGGTCAAAAGGAGTAATTCATTAGTGAATTCATTAGTGAATTACTGAAGTGATGAGCAACTGCTACCATGAAGGTCTTTGGTTACAAGCAAGAGAAAAGGACTCTGGGACCCCTGGGGGGCACAGCTATTGGACGTCCTACTCTTGGTTTCAGCTCAGGTCGTGATGTCAGGGTCGTGAGATCGAGCCCTGTGTTGGGCTCTGGGCTCAGTGAAGAGTCTCCTGAGGTTTCTGTCTCCCTGTCCCTCTCCCCCTTCCCCTGCTTGTGCTCTCACTCTGTCTCTCTAAAGTGAATAAATAAATCTTAAAAAAAAAATTCTTTTAAAAAAAGAAACTGTCTTATGGAAAAAGAAAGAATTTCCTGGAAGGTGTATGTGTTTCCCGCGGTTGCCATACGGCAGTGCCATAAGCCTGACGGCTTGGAACAGTAGAAATTTCTTCTCTGACTGTTCTGGAGGCCAGAAATCCAAAATCAAAGCGTCAGGAGGGCCACACTCCCTCCGGAGGTTCCAGGGGTGAATCATCTTGCCTCTTCAAGCTTCCGGTGGCTGCCAGTGTTCTTGGCTTATGGCCATGTCTCTCCATTCTCTGCCTCGGTCATGATGTCCCCTTGTCCTCTGTGTGCACCAGTCTCCCAGGGCTTTTCTCTCAGAAGGACCCGAGTGATGACATGGAGGGCCCACCCAGCAGATCCAAGCTGATCTCATCTCCAGACTCTTAAAGTAATCACATCTGCAAAAAAGACCCTTTTTCCAAATAAGGTAACATTTATAGGTTCCAGAGATTAGGGTGTGGACATATCTTTGGGACCACCATTGAGCCCACCACAGAAGGGTATCAGTGGAGTTCACCCAGTCGAAGAAAAAGCTGACTGAGCCGGCCACAGGACATGTAGGAAGGAGAGGAGCTCTGGTGACCTCTGTGTAGGACTCATGAATCCTTTGTTGGGGATACTGCCAGCTAAATGCTCAGCCTTCCATCACTTTCCTCCCCTGTGTCATTCTGCTCACCATTCCCAATCCCAGGGGAGAGCTTGATTTGCGTAGCTTGGGGTACGTGCCTCTTCCTCGGTGGAGATGGAGGGCAGGGCCCCTGCATTGACACTTGCAGCAGACCACATGGGAGGGAAGACCAGTAGTGACCCAAAGAGGTCATGTGACATCACCAAAATAAAGGGGAGGGTTGTTAGGCAAACTAGTAGATGTCCCCTGCATTCCCACCCTTGGCCGCCCAGCACACTTCACGAAGTCGCTCCTTCCCAGACACACGGTTGAGAAAAATGTTTCTAACATCAGGAACCTATCATGTACATGACCCAAAGCATCCTTGGTGCGCTCCAGGCCCCATTAATGTGATTGGATCAGTGTAGTGGATCAGGCTGCTATCTTGTGGAAAAGCACCATCGAAGTCTTGACGGGGCAGGTCTGGCAGGCTAAGATGTTTCTGAGTTGACTAGTAAAGGAAAACTGTTACCTCTTCCAACGAATAGCAAAATGCTTCCAGCGGTTTCTGCTTCTTGGAATGGAACATGAAGCCAACAGATGCCTCTAAACTCCAGGGACTGTCCTGAGGGGCGCGTGTCTGTCCCAGCCGCTGACGTTGGAATTGCCGTTTGATTACAGCAGCCCACTGCCATCCTCCAGGACCAGCCGATTTTGCTCCAGCCAAATGGGGGAAGCAAATGGTGCTTTGATGGGAGTCCTCGCCCTCCAGGGTCTTTGGTTGTCTCTGCAGGCTCCCCAAAGCTGTGGTATTGCTTTGAATTTTCTGTTTCAGAACAGTCGTTCAGTTGGATCTATTGGTCTTTTATGTTATGCCTCCGTGTCAGGGAGCCAATGTGGGGATCTTTTCCAACTATCACTCAGAGATGGGAGATCTAGCTCTCTGTGACAGGGACAAAGGCCAAAATACTGTTTTTCACAGGGTTGGTGGATATAGGGTGGGACTCTCAGACCCAAGAAATTGGTATTAGCTCAAAGTTCTTTATCCAGATCTCCCTGAAAAGTCTGGATGTTTCCCTCTCTTCAGTACCCAGTTAGCGTGGTAAATGGCCACGGGGCCTTTTGGAGAAGGCAAGAAAAATGTTTACATTACACTCGGGGAGTAGCATAGCAGAAACCTTCCCCAAGGGCAAGTCGTGTATCCTTCATTGGAGGGACTTTAGATCAACAAATGAATTCAAGCCTAGGTGTTAGGTGATGATCGATTTTTGTTTTGTTTTGCTTTGCTTTGTTTTGCTTTGTTTCTTATGTTTTACTGGTTATACAGTTAAGTCAGAATGGTGGTCAGTTTTACCTTCTCAGGGTCCTACAGTAGAGAACCTGCCTCACTCAGAACCTGCTAAATATTATGATGACCGTTTTCACTTAATTTCTGAGGCACCTAAATGCCAACACCTGATCCCCCACACCTCTGCATTCTTCCTTCCCTTGGAGGTCAGGGAACCCTTCAATAAGCCCACCTGATGACTTTCCTCAAAGCAAAGTTGAAGTTTCTGGGTCCAGTGAGGTACACAGAGGGAAGGAGGCACAGAGTAAATCCAATCCAGCATTCCTATCTTCAGAAATCTCTGAATCCCTTTCTCTCTATGATGTCAAGGGATTTGGGGCCTTTACATTTCATTTCACACGGGCCAGCATTTGGTCCAAGTTTGGTTTAGTCAACCCAGCAATGGTCAGAACCCAGCCAGCTCCCGGA